AAAAAAAAAAAAAAAAAAAAAAAAAAAAAAAAAAAGAAATTTTCCATCATAGGGAAGCTTAAATAATTCTTCAATAATAGACCTACAATTTGAAATGCTAATTGTAGTTATTCAAGCCAAAGGAAAATTATACCATATGAAAATACAAGTCTGCATAAAAGGATGAAGAACATAGGAACTTGTAACCACATGAATAAGTGTATTAGCTTATTATGGGATGTCTTTGAAATATTATTAACTCTTCTTATCTATATTTGTTTGAAATATAATTAGCTATTCAAAGAAAACAAAGCAAAGCAAAACCAATGCTTGTAAGATTTATAGCTTCTTTAGAAATCAAGTGCATGAAGAAGATAGAAGAAAATCTGGATGGGAAGAAATTCAGATGTTATAATTTCTCATACTGTATTCATAGCAGTATAGTATTACTTCAAGGTAGACTCGAACAAGTTAAAGCTATATAATTTCTAAAACAACTGCTAAAGCAAATAGCAAAGAATTGTAACTAATAAGTGAACAAACAGAATCATTGAAAAATACTCATTCTAAAATAAAACAGAAAAAAAGAAAGTGGGAGAAAAGAACAGGATAAATATGAAATAAGTGGCAATAGATTTAACCACAATTATATTAAGAACCACAATAAGTGTAAATGGTGTTAACATCTCATTAAAGTACAGAGGTTATCCGGTCAAGTAAAAGAATAAAACCACACTTTACGATGCTGACTGAAACAACCAATCAGACCAAAACCACTTTCAGTATCAAGATGTAAATGAGCTAGGAGGAAATAGATGGAAAAAAAAATAGACAATAATACATTAGTTAAAGAAATCAGGGAACCTATATTAAGATCAAACAAAATAATTTTCAGAACCAAGAATATTATCAGGGACAAAGAGAGCCAATACGTAATGATGAAGGAGTTAATTCATCAAGAGAATGGAAATCAAGCTGCCAAATATATGAAGTAAAAGCTGATGGAGCTGCATACCATGATTCTAACACTCCTTTCTCACTGTAACTAATGGAACAAGTAAAGAGAAACCTAGTAAAGATAAAGGAAACTGGATGAGCACCATCAACTATCTTGATTAAGTTATTTAAAAAATATTGCATTCAGCAACAACAGGGTACTCATTCTTTCCAGTGCACAAGGAACTTTCATCAAGATCGACTGGATTTTGGCCATAAGACAAATTTTAATAAATATAAAGGTATTAAAATAATGAAGTATATCCTCTAACTACAATGGAACAAGTCTAGATAGAACTCAAAAGAAAAAGATGCCTGGAATACTCACTTTAACCTTGAAATTAAATAATATGCTTCTAGAAAAATAGATCAATAGAATTAAATAGAAATTTTAGAAATTGATCTACTTACGTATGGTTCCTTTATTTTTGACAAAATTTTAAAAGCATAATATTTTCACAGTGGTGCTGGAGCACTGTCAAATCTGTTACCTTACTGAAAACAAAAGATACAAAGAAAAAGGGATACAGAAAGAAAAGAAAAAATATTCAACATGAATGAAGAGAAGAATGATCAGTGATTTTCACCAGAAGGTACAGGCATATTTAAGTGAAACTTCTAACATATTAAGAAGAATCACTATAAAATGGAATTGCACATCCAGAGAAAATATTATTTTAATTTGGAAAAAAAGACATTTTCAGATAAACAAAAAGTGATAATCGCTGTCAGTAGGTTAAATCAGAAGAAATCTTAAAATATTACTTTAAAGTCAATGAAAAATGACTAGATAAGAAATCAAAAGTCCAAAAAGAAATGAAGAACTCCTTAACACAATAA